AGGCAGTCCACTCAACTCAGCCTCCCAAAGGCGTGGGATTACAGGCTGAGCCACCGAGCCTGGCTCATCCTGAGTTTTTTTAAGGAGAGAGGCAGGAACTGTATCAAGTTGTGTTGAAGAAGGAGGATCCCACAGATTCCCTGAGGTGGGAGTAGAGGGGGCTGGCAGGCACGCACATGGTACTCCCCCCACCACACACACACACACACACACACACACACACACACACACACACCCAGAAATGTTGAAGAAGAATGCCGACCACGGGGTTCGGGACAACACCAGCTCCTAAAAGCTAGATGTGTGCAGAGTCCACAGTTGGAAATGGGGGAGATAGCCCCTGCCCCAGGGGCCCCCTAATTTCAGACTGGTGATGCCTATGGGTTTAAGGGTAAGTGGACCAGTTCGATTTACACAGAAAGTAACTGTTTCCTGGCTACAAGCACATGCTAAACTCTAGCCCCATCCTGACCCCTACCCTACCCATAGACAGACCCTTAACCCTGCCCATAGACCGACCCCTAAATCTTGGCCTCATACTGACCTCTAATCTTCAGCTTCACCCTGACCGCTGGCCCTGACTTCTACCCAATAGACATGGCCAATCCATCACTGGGGACCAGGACAGGGTGTGACCGAGCACAAATTCACAATCAGAGACTTGCATTCCAGGGTGCCCGCAAGTCATGTAACGGCCCAGGCCTCTTCGCCTGATGGAGTGAATTCTCTCAGTGGGAGTGGGTGTTTTTAGGCTGGGTGTTATGTCCCTGGGAGCACTATGGGTGTGTGGTTTGCTGGGATTCAGGGCTCCACACAATGCAAAGAGCCCACCCAGATCTTCACAGCTGCCCTCCTCACTGGACCCCGCCTCTCCTGCCTACCGCTCTGGGCCCAGCACCCTGCCAGCCCTTTAGTGGAACAGGACTCTTCTTCCAAGCCACAGATTGGGCCAACCAGGGCCCAAGGGACAGATCAGAAATGGCCCTCAAAGTGCTGTCCCACCCTGTTCTGAAGAGGAGCCCTCAAGCAGAGTTGACCTGTGGACGGCTGTGGAGTGAGGAGGCTGCTCTGTCCCCTGCTGGGGCAGGGGGATGACAGAATCGGCCTCTCATGGCCCCAGCCCATCCTCATCTTTGCTCTCCATACATCCTGCCGCACCCCCTTGGGTCCTCATCATGGGAGCAGCCAGTTCACAAACAACCTCTGTTCACAGGGCCCAGGCCCTGAAGCCTCTCCCGAGCTCTGCGCACAGCGCCCTCTCTCTCCTCTGGTTCCTGGCTGCTCTGCTTTCCCAGGGTGTCCTTAGTTCAGTCTTCACTCAGCCTACTCTCTCCCTGCTCCGCCGAGCGGCTCCACCGTGCCCCGGAGAGCCCGGACCCCATCCCACCTGGACCTCTGAGCTGGCCTCTGCCACAGAAATCCAAGGTCTGGGCCTCAGACCCTGGCACCCTGGCGGCTCACCCACTCTTGCACGCCCCAGCCACAGGGCCTGGGACGTCTGAGGCACCCCCAGCACAGGCACACGCACACGCAACCCCAGGTCTCCACCTCAGGCCTGGGCACCGGGTCCCTGGAGTGGCCCCAGCCCAGGGCTCTCCTGCCAGCCCCCTCGGGCACTGCACTCCATCCAGCCCCAGCCGCCGCGCTGCTGTGTGCGTGCGGGGTTCGAAGCCGCGATGGGAGCCCTCACTCACCGCCCCCATCGCCTTCCTGAGCCCGCAGCCCCGCTGGAGAGAGGGGCTTGCAGATCCGCCCGCCCCGGGCCCTGGAGTCTGGAGGTTTTGGGTGGGGTCTCAGCCGACAGCCGGGGATGGCAGACCTCCGCGCCTTTCCCCACTCGGGGAGCCCGGCCGCCTCCACCCCGGGACTCACCTCCGCCCTCCCGACAGCTCGACGCTGTCCAGCTGCCGCGAT